CTATTACAGGATAAAAATTTGTTCATTTATGCACCTGTACTAGTGTTACATGTACAATACAACTTGCTATTATCTGTAGTAATCTCCGCACAAAACAGTATCAGCTGTAATTGTATTTCCACTAATTGGTATTGTAATTACTACCAGTATTATGTATAGTGACTTACTAAGAATTCCCTTTTGATGTACATAAACAAAATTATAAATAGTTCCCTCCACACATTTATAGGAATATACACATGCAGCCACAAAGAGGGTCTACACCAGAATACAACTACTAAATCAATTAATCAATTCCTTGAAATGAGTGTGTTGATAGCAATCATGGTTTACCTGTCAGCTAAAATCTACAATTTCTTAAATTGAGTATTAAATGATAATAGAATTGTGTGGTAAAGATTGGCACATAGTTCTACAGAGACTCCTCCTTAAGCAACAAGAGGTGACTCAAATCTTTTAATACATAGTAGCTCGACTACATAGACTATGATGTAACAGCTAGGACACACACATATGCACTGTACATTAATGAAGTATATACCTCATGTACAGCCACACTATACACATACACTAGATATGTATACCCACATCACCAATCCAATATTGTATGTAATTTTCCTTTCTGTTCAAAAGAATCAGAAAAGTTTGTGTACTATGCAAAACTTGGAGTAATCAATGAAATTAATGAAAATAAAGACCAAGCAGTAATAAATGCCAAAAAGCAACAGCAATAATAAACAATAATGGTGCTAATGATAATAAGTAATAATAAGGTGGTTAGTGCTGTGTGTATCAGCTATAGGACACACACACACACACACACTCTGTACATAAACACATAAACTAATTATTATTATCCATGTATACACATACACACACACATGTACAATGTACATACTTTTATGCTTGCTGACATAATGTAGTTGTTAATTAATGTTACAGTTGTTTAAAAAAATAACAGGAGCTTTTAAATTAGTAGATCATGGGTTTTCCATAGGATTTTGGCATAATGTTTATGCAGTTCTTGTCAGTGAATCCTTAAATTTGCATTGACAAAATACTATAATACTATAAAGGGCACTTTTTCAAAAATTATAGGGAGAGATTGTTTAATTTTATATGTTTTATGTTGTGTAGAAAATTTGAACTGATTCCAATCAAAATTGGATTTTGATTGTACATATACATTGTGCATGTACATGTACAATGATTTTTGTCACAAATTAAATGCCCATAAATTGTTTAAGAAATAAATTGGCATGAATTGACTGGTATGTGGTTAATCATGAGTGTGTGCATAACCTCAATATTACTGTATATGTGTGTATTTATGTATTACATGCATGGTTTATAATGTTAGTAAATAAAACACTTGTTGTGATTCATGAACTAAATCACTATCAGTATATGCAGTATTTAAGGTATAGTGCTTTATTTTGGTAGAGCTTTATTTTGGCAATCTTGCTATAAAAATTTTACTGGCAGTTTTAATACATGCATTACTGAGCATGCGCATTAATGATTGGCAATGTTATTGGTAATTTTGCTTGCAAATTGCCATGCCAAAAATCATTTTGCCAAAAAATGACCAGATGACGATTTTTAATGCATATGTAAAAGTTTAAATTGATTCCAATCAAAATGGGATTTTGATTGTACAGTGTACATGTACATTGATCTTTGCAAAAAAATTAAACACTCCATAAATTGACTAACAAATACATATTATTGACACTAAAAACAAAAAATAAGCAATAAAAATAGCAATAGATAATAATTATTACATAGTCCTTAACTGAACATCTATAACAGTAATGAGAAATGAGAAATAAATTAATAGTTAAAACTTTAAAAACTAAAGTAGCTAAAAATACTAAGAATAGCTAAGGGTGGCAGCAAAAATTGTAAAGATCATGATTAAAACAATTCAACAACTGATTCACGACTATTACTAAGTCTAACATTAGTAGAAGTTGGTACAATTTCTCTCATTTGTTGATCAACAGTTAAATGTGATTCAGTGACATCTTGATTATCATCATCTTCATTTTGTTTCTTGAGTAGCTTCTTAATTAAAGCATGATAACATTTCATATGTGATAACTGCAGGTAAAGATGATAAACAACAATCAAAATAAAACTAAAAATAAAAACAGATAAACAAGTATTGTACCAGATCAATACTTTACTGTCTTCATTAAAAGCTACAGATAGACCAACCATGATACATAAGTTAAACAAGAACCAAACTTCAAGTACATTGTTCATTCTTTTCTTGTAAACTCCAGCAAAGCAATTACTCAATGATAGTACAATAACTAAAACTGTCAATAACATTGACAATAGGAAGTGCTGTGACTGAATGAAACTGTCAACTAAAGTAACTGATAATAGTACTGGTATCCTAGCCACTAGCAGTAGACCAGGCCAGAACCGATACTCATCTTTCATTGGACCACTATAAGCATCAATAATAGGCTTGAAATAACTCCATAATTTTCTTAAAAGTTTGAAATTTGAAAGGTGCTTCTCATAAAAAGGATTAAGTAAAAGGAACAGTGTGTATGGTATGACAAAGAAAACAGTCACCAATAGGGCAAATCCAAATAGTCCAGCATGCTTCCCTTTAGCATATTCAACATTAGGATCCACATACCATAAACTAACTGATCTTACTGACTCATCTGTACAGTGAAGAGTTACCTCACGCTTGTGTAGTACAATAACAATAGTACGTACTAGTTTAGTATATGAGAGAAGGAAGAGTGTAGATAGAACAGGAACAGCATGAGACCCCATCAGTCTTGATATCTTACCATATCTCCTACACAATTGTATAATGATAATGATAATGATCCACAGGTAGAGAGGGAAAGCAAACTGGAGCCATTGTTTAGCAGAACTGTCCATACCATTGTAAAAACACATCTCAAACCCAAAGTCTAAGTTAATCCATGATATCACTTGACTCAAGACTGGTAATGCTCCTTTCCTTGAAAAGACTGGCTCATATAACTTGACAATGTTAGCATAGAACAATAGACCATTGAGTGTACCCACTGATACTGTTAAATTGAGAGCAATCAGTAGAACCACAAGTAGTACACCCATCACTGCAAACAGAGCAATCCAACCTATCATCATGTAATTATTATGACATTGTCCACACTTGTTTGATCCCATTAGTAGACTGTATCCCTCTGTACATGATCCACACAT